CTAGTGCGCGAGGGACTCGGATCGGCAGAACAAAAAGCCGAGCAACACGAGTAGAGCAGAAAAAGGATCGATAAATAAAGACGATCAATACAATCAATCAATCATCCCATACATCACATCCAAAACCCATCATTCATCTCAGGAAGCCCAGAAACAGTGCTTCAATCTGACAAAACTAAGCACTAAGTAAAATATATTTTATCTTAAAAAATATTACTTTTTACTTTATAAAACTTAGTTTTTAAGGGCTAGTTTATAACTTTTTTAACTAAAAAAAGTAAAAGCTTTTTCTTTATAATAGTACTACTGTTGTAGTACTGCTTCCTCTTATAGAACACCTAGACATAGAAGTTAGCACAGACACAGACACATAGATAGGCAGGCAGGCAGGCAAGAATACTATCTTAAATTCCTCCTGCTTTAGAATATAGACCTAGTGCGTATTCTCTAGCCACTGCTTGCAAATTATAGCTAGAATATAGTGCGCATTAGCGCGCAGCTTAGTGTTGTTTGTAATGTTAACATCTACACGCTTATAACGCGCCCTGCGCTGTAGACCTATGCTTATGCCCCCTAAAGTGTGTATAGTAAGGGAGGGTATATACAGCAGTAAGCAGCGCACGCTGAAACTTAGGCTTAGGATAAAGGTGAGGGCAGGGCCTAGCCTGCCCTAGGGCCTCTCCATCCATACATATATATGTGTGTGTGTGTGTGTGTATGTAGTACAGGAGCCATCAGCGGCGGGCTCAGCAGGCGGCCGGTGCATTGGGAGATGTCCACCGCACGGGCGCGAGAGCCGGGGGTAGACATCCGCAGACGCCCGCAGGAGGCGATTGGTCGAGAGGGACAGCGACTCAGCCAAGGCTCAGTGCGGCCTCAAATACCAACCCTGCTCTACTTACGCCACACAGGGAATATGAACTTTGTGGACACAACATAGAGGGAACGTAGTAAGCTCTTTAAATGTAGCAGATTGCTAGAGCTAATTTAACATTAATATAATATAGCTTTTCCTTCTTCTATTTAGTTTGTTTTAGACTAAAATTTATTTGCACTTTAAAATCACAAAATCTACAATTATTACCCGTTGAAGTACCATCCGCAAGAGACTCTCACATAATGCATTTAAAGGCGGGTCTATAATGTGGCGTATGGTTGACGGCGTCGTTTCAGGCTGTACGGAGTACTGTGCATTGGCAGGTTGAAAACAAATATCCGTCTCGTCCGTCCAACTTAGATGGCATTCCAAAGACTATGCTAACCTTGTGATGCTCTTGTACAGACACTTAGCACTCAGATTCACACTCATTTTAGCCATCTCTAAGGCTTTCGTTCCTTCCCCAGCTTTGGGATTATCTTGCCATGCAAGGGCTGTGCCACAGCCATGCACACGTCCGCTTTTAAAGACATCTCCGGGAATCCTGGCCACAGAACCTGCAGCTTGATATTATGGCGAGGACAGATACCCGGAAGATTGCTCTTCTCAGCTCGTAGCCGCGCCAGCAATACACACTTTTAGGAGGGCCACAACCTGTTTACGGTTAAGCGCCGTAATAACCCTAAGCTCGGACTGATGATTTATATCCTTGTCCAGACCGCACGAACAAAGTCAACTCAAATCATGATCGAACGCGCGCAACATGGTACATGCCCCGAAATTTTTTTTTAAAAAAAAAGCCCGCATTCAGCATACGTACTCTACAGTCTAGTGGATTCTGCTTGCAGCTTCCTACGGAATACCTCGGGCTGCACCATCGGATCGCAATGCCATTGTAGACTTTCCACCCCCCTTGCACCCAAATGAAAACTTACTAAGCGTGTATGATAGTCAGAGACAGGAAACATCGCCCGGTCACAAACCTCTCGGTTCCTGTTTGCTTCCCAGTAAAATGTGTCCCTGTCGTACGGAAGAAGATCATAGGTCGTAAGAGAATGGCTTTGCACATATACACGTAGACCAGCCTTCATCGAAATGATGTCCAGTACAAAGTTCCCCATTGCGTTGCTATATCTTCCGGAGTAGGCGGCAAATGGTAGTGTAGGCAAGCGCTCAGTCTTGTTGGCGCAGAGGTACCTAGACAGATGTTCATACCAAGCCATCTGTGTCTGTTTCGCGGTCTTTGCGAGAGGTAAGAACGAAGGGAAGCTCCTAGATCCCAGTAAGGTCCCAAGAAGAAGCTGCGCGCTGAAGTCCGTCGCATCCATGAACGGTGTCGCGTTGGACAGGCAGACAACGCAGCTCTGGGTCTCGGTCTCCAGGAACATGCTGTGAAAATAGCCAGGAATATTACCCGTATGGTGAAATATCTTAGTTCCGGGGAGGTCAATACCGAAGGTAGGGGCGCTTCTGCGCAAGAGAGATGCGTTGAGACTAGCGCAGGACAAGTTCCCAGGGAGGATGGTACGATATACACCAAGACAGTAAGCTTGGGACGAAGTTGGAACGTTCCTCCGGAGTTGGATGTGTGGTTCAAAAATTAAGCGAAGGTAAGTGAAAGGCAATCCTGGAGTAGTGTCGACATTATTCTCTTTCTGATGTGCGTATGCTGAGAGTATCGCGGAGTAGATGGTTAACATCTCCCGAAGAGTACTTTTACCGCCCATCACTGCGGTCAGGCCTGTATCAGATGAAAATGGGCATATTGGAGTTCTTGTAACACCTCCATCATCATGCACGGCGTGTGGATATGCAATGTTCGATCCTTCAAGGCCTTCAAGAGTAGTTTGGTGCAAGCCAAGCGGATCAAATAGCTTTTCCCTCATCGTTTGCCCAAAAGGCTTTCCAGTGACAGTCTCAATGACCGCTTGGATAAGAATATAATTCCAAGGCGAGTAGATGAAAGATCTCCGAAACGGTTTGGAAGCTTGTATGACCGTGGATAGAGACACAAGGTCATTCTTTGGGGTTAGAATATCTCCATTCTGCTGTCCCCAGAAGAAATCCGAACTAGACAGCCCGGTTCTGTTAGACGCAACGTCACATAGAGTTGCATTCACGCCCATCTCATCGGAACGACTTCGTAATGTGTGTAGGTATTCGCGGATCGGAGTTTCCCATGTCAACAATCCTTCGGCGACCAAGATCCCAATAAGGCAAGTCGTTAGAACCTTAGTGAGTGAAGCGATGTGATATAACGTATCATCCTGCGGCGCCTTTCCGGTCGATATATCGCGCTGTCCGAGATGTTTGGTGTGAATGATTTGGCCACGGTGAAGGACTCCAATGGACATGCCAGGTACGCCGCTGATGCGCATGATCTCACGAATGGTGTCCGTTTGAGCCTCTAAGCGTAACGCAGGACCGGGTGTCATGTTGGCAACGTTGTTGGGACGGAAAGTTGTTATGTCGGCTAGAGAAGCCCATATTAGGCCATCAGGAGGTTCATGAGGTCTTTTGTGCTGTGCCGCAATATAAGCGAACTCTATTACAAGCAAAGATCATGGGTTTAACGACAAGGGTCCCTTGCTTTTACCGCGTGTACCTCCTAGATAATGCGCACAGATCGACTGCTCGGGCTTCACCTCAACAATACCTGTCGCCACTGCGCCACCTTACGGATACTGTATGCAAGACACTGTTGTTGCAAGACGCCTGAGGGAATTTTTGTTAAGAAACGTGTGTTGTCACTCTGCGCCATAGACAATCGACAGTGTCCTTCGTCTAGCTCTAGGCGTACCTAAACTTTATAGGAAGCTGCTCATTCTTTGAATCTTGCAACCTCAATTGACTTCTCGAGGACATTTGTGTTCCCCAAAACAGCCATCATTTCCCCTACAAAAATTGAACCATGCCACCGGCCTGAACGGAAGTGTGTCACACACCCAAGAATATCCTGCGGGTATTGACCATAAGAGTGTTGACCACAGGAGTGCTGACCACAAGAATGTTGACTGCAACGAAAAATTTGGCATGGGTCTACACTCGTCTACCAATGGACTCAATGGCCTGGAGCCAACTCAATGCCACGCCGCCGGCAACCATGCGGCGAATCAATCTATAAAAGAGAGAAACACTGGTACCCCATTCGCAGGAGACCAGGCTAGCATTCCAGAACCCCTCGCAATCATCGGGATTGCCTTCCAGTTTCCAGGTGGTGTAACCACGGAAGGTGGTTTTTGGGAGATGTTGGTGGAGAAGACCTGCATGTCGAGTGAATATCCTTTGGAAAGGATGAATGTCAAGTGTTTTTTCGATCCTTCTGGGAAAAAACAAAACACAGTAAGGCCTTTTGCGCGTATAGATGATATGTGCATTTAACGGAGCAGGTTCATACGAAACGAGCTCATTTTCTCAAAGATGACATCTACCATTTCGATGCTCCATTCTTTTCCATCTCATCCAGCGATGCAACGGCTATGGATCCGTGTCAACGAACTCTAATGGAAACAACATACCGTGCCCTTGAGAGCGCAGGCTTGACGCTTCAGTCTGTATCTGGGACAAACACTTCTGTTCACGTTGGTTGCTTCTCTAGTGACTACATGCTCTCTGCTTTCAGAGACCCGCAAGACATCCAGAAGTACTCCGCTACGGGTGTATCGAGTGCTTTGCTATCCAACAGGCTCAGTTGGTTCTTCAATCTTCAGGGACCAAGCTTGACGGTTGATACGGCCTGCTCTAGCGGCATGGTCGCGCTCGATCTCGCCTGCCAGGGCCTTTGGAGTGGTCAAAGCGATATTGCTATAATCGCGGCTTCAAACTTGATATTATCACCTGAGATTAACATCTCGTTGAGTAACATGAATTTTTTATCCCCGGATGGTCGCTGCTTCAGCTTCGATCATCGAGCAAATGGGTATGCCAGAGGTGAAGGGGTTGCGACATTAGTGGTGACACCTCTTTCCAAAGCACTAGCCATCGGAGTTCCCATTCGAGCACTCATTCGTTCAGTGTGTACAAATCAGGACGGACGGACAACTGGTGGCATAACTCAGCCGAGCCAGAACATGCAAGCGGCCCTGATTCGCGAGACTTACCGAAGGGCAAACTTAGACATGGCCCATACGCGATTCTTCGAGGCCCACGGAACCGGGACTGCGATTGGCGACCCGACAGAGGCAAACGCGATAGGAGAGTGCTTTCGTTCGCATCGATCAGGGTGTGAGCCCCTTCATGTTGGGGCTCTCAAGTCAAATATTGGACACCTGGAAGGCACCAGTGGGCTAGCTGGGATTATCAAAGCTGTCCTTGCCATTGAGCGAGCTACCATACCTCCGAATACGAATTTTGAACGCCTAAATCCCGAGATTGATGGCGAGTTCCTCAGGGTTCACTTTCCTCAAGAATCCATACCCTGGCCAAATTCTGGCGCTATTAGAAGGGCATCTATCAATTCCTTTGGATTTGGGGGGGCAAACGCGCATGTTGTTCTCGATGATGTGCAATCCTACCTCCAGAGGACCAGGCTTGACGGAACTAGAACTCTCGGCAACGTCGCTATCGATTCGACTGTTGCGTTGAAGGATACGTTGGGAAATGGAGCCCACAATTTCACGCCTCATCTCCTTATTTTCTCGGCCGCCGATAAAACAGGTATATCCCGCCAAACTGAAGCCCACAAGAGATTTCTTGAGGATTTCGGATTAGATTATACCTCAGATTTTTTTGCCAACTACTCCTTCACTCTTGCCACAGGCCGCACTGGACATGCCTGGAGGGCTTTCCATGTTCTGAGGTCGCCAAATCAGTTCGCCGAAGTCACTGACCTCACCCCAATCAAATCACCCCGACAGGCTTCCAAGATGAATCTTGGCGCAATTTTCACGGGTCAAGGGGCTCAGTGGCTAGGAATGGGTAAAGAACTGCTCAAGAGCAATGCCTTTCTCCAAAGTGTCCAGAAATCTGAGGAATGTCTCGCAGCTTTGGGGTATATGCGGTCCCTCGTCGAGTTCCTTGATGCTGAGACGGACGCCTCTATTCTCACTCAGGCTCGATTCAGCCAGGTTCTAACAACTGTCATTCAGATAGCCTTAGTCGACCTAATAGAATGGCTCGAAATCGCCCCAAGAGTTGTGGTTGGCCATTCTTCCGGGGAAATAGCGGCTGCCTATGCAGCTGGGCATATTTGTCGCTATGACGCCGTCAAAGTGGCTTATTACAGAGGTCTCCTTGGGTCCAGGCTGGAAGAGAACGGGGGACCCAGATATGCAATGGCCGCTGTCGGGTTGTCGAAGGAGCGAGTTCTGGAAGAGCTGGAAATGATACATCAAGAATATGGTCAAAGTGAACGAAGAAGCCAGCTTGTAGTAAGTTGCATCAACAGTCCTTCTAATGTTACCCTTTCGGGTCCAGAGGCAGAGGTCGAGTCACTCGTCGCACGATTAACCTCACGGGCTATCTTTGCGCGGAGACTCAAGGTCAACCTCGGCTACCATTCACCACAGATGGCTTGTATTAGTGATGAATACCAGGCGCTTATCGGCAAGATGAAGACTCGACCGAAAGGTGGTATGACTCGGCCTCTGATGATTTCTTCAATTACTGGTGAACCCATCGACCGCGATACTGTATGCACAAGCAAGTACTGGACGCAGAATATGGTATCTCCAGTCGACTTTCTGAGCGCCATACGATCGTGCGGTTCTTCGAATATCTCCGATACGAAGTCTCTCGGAGTTGGAAAAGTCACTGTGCCACAAATCCATGCATGGCTAGAGATTGGACCTCATGCGGCTCTGAGAGGGCCGGTTCGAGAGATCTTGACTCTTTTATCGGCGGAAACGGACATTGTGTATACTTCGGTTCTTTTGCGCTACCAATCTGCACTCTCGACTATGATGTCCGCTGCAGGATATCTGCATTGTCATCACATTCCCATGAATCTTGGGCGGGTTACTGGTCTAGGCCTTCGTCCGGAGGTCATGAATTCCCGAACCATCTTACCCAATTTACCCCCATATCAGTTCAACCACAGTATCAAGTATCTAGAAGACTCGCTTGTGGACTCAAATTTCAGAAACCGACAGCATGGTCCACATGATCTACTCGGACTCCGCGTAGGAGACTCAAACCCATACGAGGCAGAGTGGAGGCTCATCATTAGGGCAAATGAAATGCCATGGATAAGGGACCACAAAGTCAATGGCTCCATCTTGTATCCTGCATCTGGGATGCTGAGCATGGCAATTGAAGCAACCAAGCAGCTTCATTCGGCGGCCCCCCCTACAGCATTTCTCTTGGAGGATGTTGAGATTCCTTCGCCAATATTTGTTGCCAGCCCGGAGGGAAAGGTGGAAGTTCGTATTCACATGTCTACCCAGGACAAGCAATCGGGAGTCCATGACTTTCGCATATTCGTCTTGAAACCGAGCAACGACTATGAGGTCGTATGTTATGGCAGAGTACAAGCTGAGTACGAGCAACCACCATCTGATGTTGACAGCGGCCGAGAACGGTCTCAGAAGGCTGCTAGTGTGGCCCAGCAGCATGAAAGCACCATGAAAGCATGCTCACACCCAGTGGTACACGAATGGTATCAGACTATTCAGGAGACTACGGGACTGGAATATGGGCCAGCATTCCAAAGGCTAATCACTGTTCGGTCTGACAACTCCAGAAACGCGACTGCAATCTTGACGCCATACGATGTCGAGGCAAGCACACAGTACGTAGTTCACCCTGCTGTTCTTGACGCCACCTTCCAAATCTGTTTCGCTACATTTGGCGCTGGGCTGAAATCCGTCACGATGGTACCAACCCGTATTGCCAGGCTTTGGCTTCTCTTGCATGAGCTGAGGAGGGGGCATATGGCAAACGACTCGACAAGGGAGCGAGATCCAAACAAGGTGGATTGAACGAGTGTATTGTAAGGTCTGAGGAGCTCGATAGAGCTCTGAGCTGACTATATACTGTACGAGATAGGAGCTATGCCTAATGAGTGAATAGTGCAGTACATGGGTATGATATCGCGTGAGACACGTGCGACAGCTTCCAGTCTCAGGGTTGGCTCATTCTAACCAGTCAGATGCGAGAGAGAGGGTAACTGCGTCTGCAGAGAACGTGTTCCAACATCACGCCTCCTTTAACATCAAGGTAATTAGCGAGCAAAGCGGTCTGACTTTGCGGCTCGAAGTCGACGGGCTCGAACTTACAGCTATATCCAGTAGACAAGAGAATCCTAGAACTCTATGCGAAGCAAGAAACCTATGCAGTCACATCGAATGGGATGTCGACCTGGATATGCTTGAAAATAGTGAAGTTCAAACTTACTGCGAAGATGTCAGAGCGACAACTACACCATTTCCTGCTACCTTTTCCGAAAGCCTGACTAAGATTTCGATACAATTTGGGAGAGAAGCTCTCCGTCTGGTCGGCAACGACGACATCTGCCTTTCCATGCGCAAGTATGCGGATTGGCTTCGTCGCCGCATTATCGAGTTGAGTCCTCAATTTGAGGAGCTTACACCAGACCAGCTGCATCTGGAGATCGAAAATGTACTTCCAAGCGTCCGAGCGGACCTACACATCACGATAGGAAAGCAAATGCACTTGCTGCTCCAAGGAATTGTCGACCCACTCGAACTATTATTCAGAGACCAAGGGAGGATGGATGCATTCTACGCCGAAGCAATGCAGGACTCATCGTACTTGAAGCCCTTTTCGCGGTTCTTGGAAAGTATCACCCATAAGACTCCGAATTTGAGGTTTCTCGAAATTGGTGCTGGCACTGGCGGGACAACGAGAGAAGTCTTGAAAGCAATTGGTGATAACGATAGAGGAATTGCATTCGAGGACTATACATTTACCGACATTAGCCCTTCTTTTCTCCAGAAGGCTAGAGAGACCTTTTCGGGGCAACTTAAAATGTCATACAAGGTCTTGAACATTGAGAAGGATCCCAAACCACAGGGCTTCGAATCCTCGGCGTATGATGTCGTTCTAGCAGACAATATACTTCATGCCACAATGAACCTGACAGATACACTTGCAAATGTGAGCAAGCTCTTGAAGCCTGGGGGAAAGCTCATCTTGCGAGAGTTGACGGCCCCAGAGAGGCTACTAACGGGGTACGTCTTCGGACTTCTACCAGGATGGTGGCGCTCATCCGAACGAGAGAGACAAGATAGTCCGTGCCTTAATATCAGCATTTGGGATCAGCAGCTCCGAAATTCTGGCTTTTCTGGTGCGGATATTATCCTACGGGATCACCTCGATGAACCCTATAACCCACAGTGTACTTTCATCATCACAACGGCAACCGAAGCACACTATGATGCAGTTGAGTCGCAGATTCAAGTCTCTCCCATATTTGTTGCCAACCAATTATCTAGTGCTCTCAAAGAGCAGGCGTCTCTGGTTGCCAGTCATATCTCTCTTCGGGAAAGCCCCCAGACTTCCAGTCTCATTGACATATCTGATCTCGTTGAACGCCAGCCCCAACGACACAACATTATCTTGTTCGATGACCATGAAAATTCCATTCTGGGTAATCTGGGTGAGACCGAATTTCATTCACAGAAACAGCTGCTCGCTTACTCTCGGAGTCTTCTTTGGGTTAAACCGTATGGCTTTCACAATGCATCTGGAACGCTCCAGCTTGCGATGAGCGATGGTTTGTGTCGTGTAAGCAGGTACGAATACATCAAACCTACCCTTGTAAGCCTGTCGCTTGAAGGGGCCCTAGACTCTTCCCGTTCGAAGCATGTCGTCAAATTATTTGCTGTCATCCAGGAACACATGCAACGAAGAAGCTCTGAGGTGGAGCCGGAATACGCAGAGATAAAGGGCCGACTTTGCGTCAACCGAATCAGAACGGCGAGAGTTCTCGACGAGCACGTCTTCAGGCGCACCGCAAACCCGGTTGTCCAGCAGCGGGAGGCCTTCAGACACTCAGGATTGGTATTCGCGTCCCTGGATTACTGGATACCATGACTTACTACGAAGAAGGCCCTGTCAGCGACCCTTTACCCGCTAATGAGATTGGTGTTGAGATCAAAGCGATAGGTGTCAATTACAAAGATCTGCTCGCCCTTCTAGGTCGTGCCAAGTCTGATGACTTGGGCTGTGAATATTCTGGTATCGTTCGTAGTGTCGGCAAATCCGTCACTAATATCAAGATTGGAGACCGCGTGGCTTTGGTTGCGCTGGACAACTTCAAGACTCACACTCGAGTTAAAGCTACCAGGGCCCATCGCATACCGGACAGAATGAGCTTCACGGAAGCTGCAGCAATCCCAACCGCTTACTGCACAACATACTATGCACTTGTTCACGTGGCACGTCTTCAACCCGGGGAGACTATCCTCATCCATTCGGCAGCCGGTGGAACGGGGCAGGCTGCAGTGCAGCTGGCGCAATGGATAGGAGCAGAAGTATTTGCTACTGTGGGTGACAACTACAAAAAGAAGCTTCTGAGAGAGGTCTACGGTATTGCCGACGACCATATTTTCTATTCTCGCGATACTTCGTTTGCTAGCGGGATTAAGCGTATCTTACAAGATGGAATTGACGTGGTACTGAATTCGCTCCCGGGAACCTTGCTGGAGGCATCCTGGGATTGCATCGCGCCTTTCGGTCGATTCGTAGAAATTGGGTTGAAGGATGCCTTCTTAGGGCACAATCTACCCATGGACGTCTTCCTGAAAAATGTTTCATTTTCTTCAGTGGATATGAGTTTGATCGCAAAACGGAAAGGAGAACTCTGTAAGCAAATGCTGGGGGAAGTGTTCAACCTATTCGACCAGCAGAAGCTGAGTGTCGGCAATCCTCTTCACATATACCCTCTTGGAGAGATCGAGCAGGCATTTCGCTTCCTTCAGAGTGGAAAAAGCTCAGGGAAATTAGTAGTGGAAGTTGACAGTGACGAGGTTGTTCCCGTAGGCTTATCAACACCTCCAGGTTCTTCAATGGTATACTAATGACCCGCCAGGTTACCCAAGGGCCCCATTCTCCTTACCAACTATCTGAGAATGCAACGTATATCATCTCGGGAGGCCTGGGAGCCATAGGTCTCGCGATTGCTCGTTGGCTCGTTCAGAGGGGAGCGAAACACATGATACTCCTCTCTCGAACCGGCGGCGACACGAACTCCTCCGCTATGGGTTTCATGGACCAGATGCGCGATATCGGCGTCGAGGTCTATTCACCATCATGCGATATTACAAATCTGGGGACACTAAAGTCTACCTTAGCTCGTTTTGCGAAAAGGATGCCACCAGTCAGAGGATGCATCCAAGCTGCAATGGTTCTGCGAGTAAGTTGGAGCCGTTCGGCATTGACATTTTCAGGCTCTAACTGGGCTAGGACGCAACGCTTTCTAGCATGAGTCTGGACGAGTGGACCCAGGCGATCCGTCCAAAAGTGGAGGGTTCCTGGAATCTCCATCTTACGATGCCTGCTGGCATGGACTTTTTCGTGATGTTGTCGTCCTGCGCTGGTGTATTTGGAAACGGAGGCCAAGCCAACTACGCTGCTGGTAACACTTATCAGGACGCTCTCGCAGCCTACCGGGCTAGGATTGGGGAGAAAGCAGTATCGCTCGATATAGGGTATGTTCTCGAAAACGGTGTGGTTGCCAATACCAAAGCGGGAACAGACCGCTTGACCAACTTGCATACGCTACGTCGGACAACGATTCCAGAAATATGTGCATTGTTGGACATCTACTGCCAACCAGGAACCATCGGATATCGACTAGAAAGCCAGGTAGTCTTGGGTTTTGAGATACCCGCGGACATCATGGCCAAGGGTGAAGAGGTCGAACAATTCATGAAAAAACCAATGTTTCGCCACATGTTTAATCTACAATCCATGGACACTCCGCATGCAGTTTCATCCAACCGAGGGAAGACATTGGGGTTGGCCCTCAGCGAGGCGACCACCCCGGAAGGGGCGACTCGCATTGTCTCAATGGCGCTAGCTGAGAAGGTGGGAAGAATGATGGGAATTGATGGGGAACAGATTGACGTCCATCATTCGCTGGTCGCATATGGAATCGATTCTCTTATTGGATTGGAATTAAATAATTGGCTGCTGAAAGAGACGGGAGTGGATGTTCCCGTCTTGGACCTTTTAGGCGGCGCATCCCTGGAAAATATCGCAGTAGGTATTGCGCAGAAAAGGAAATCGGAGTCAACGCCAACGAAAGCATGACATTTGATAATGTAAAAAGAAGAAGAAGGGTAATGTATAGTAGAGTATATAATAATATTCTTACTTCTTCTTCTTCTTACTAACACTATAACGTACTTCACAGGCGAGTTGCTCACACACCTAAGCTGCTTACTTTTGCTAAGACTACACTACACTACTTAAACATGTTAAAAGAACATTAAACATAGCTTACACTCTAGGCTTTTAAATAAAATGTAATCCTTTTTAAGTAACATACTATCTATAAAGTTTTTTAAAGAATAATAAGTAACTAACACGCTAAATAACCTTTTTAAGCTAATTATATAGCTAACTTATAAAAGCTAAATAATAATAAAGAGTAGGTAATTATTTAGCATGTGCTTAAGCTAAAGGTGTAAAGATTTCCTCTCTAGCTAGTAGCTGTAGCTAATATAGCTAATTTTTTATATGCTAAGCATAATATAAGCTATGTTAGTATAAACTAGCTTAATATATTTATTAAGTGTTACTTAAAGCTTAAAGTAAAGTTTAAGTGTAAGTATAACTATAAAAAAAAATTTTATAAAAATTTTATAGTAATTTAAAGCTAGCTTAACTTTATAAAAATATTAAAGCTAAGTATAGCATTTAAAATAATAACATATATAACTTTAATAAAATAAAGTTTATAAGAGGCTAAATATCTACTAAAGTAGTTATTATAAGTTTAGAGAGACAAAGACAGCTAAAAGTAGTCTAGCTAGGTAACTAAAAGTAGATAACAGCTATTTAAAGCATTAATACTATAAAGTAGACTATTTTACTTTTTATTATTTTTTAAACTAGTATAAAAAAAACTTACTTTAAAATTAAGTTATTATAGTTTTTAAATGTAGTTAGACTACTAATTAGCTTAGTTTAGACTAGTTAAAGCACTTTAATGTGTATATAAAAAAGTATACTATTAGCAGCTACTATGTACTATTTATTAATAGCTATAGTTAATTATAAGCTTTAAAATGTTTTTTTAAAGAAGTTAACTTTATTCTTTATATATAACTTAAAGACTTTACTAAACTAAGCTTTACTAAAAGCATAGCTACTATTAATAAATTAAATATTTTAAAAAAATAAAGTAAAATACAGTGTTAATAATATACTACTACACTTATGTAAACTACTACTAAAATGTCTAGCTAGTATTATACCTTTATATTAAGCTTTATAAAAGACTTTACTAAACCTACTACTATTACTTTTAAAACTTTTGTCGCGTACAGCTATCTGTCTATATATATCCTTCTGCTGTGCTAGCTAGAAGGTTAACCTTTTAGCAAACGCAACAGTTATAAGCCTAGTTTACAGCATAGTGTAGATAGTTAGCGCTTAAAAATTTGTGCACCCCTACTCTACTAATAGAATTGCATTATCCCTAAGCACTGTGTGTTTAATTCCTACGCTTAGCAAAGAGCATTTAGGCAGTGCGTCTATTACAGAGGCTACCTTACTAGATCTGTCTCTAAGTTCTGTTGCTTAGGCTGGAAGGGTGTGTTAAGGTTGTTTTACTATGTTTTACCTCTCTTGTTCCACAGTTTAAGCTGGGGGGTGTGTCGCGTACAGCTATCTGTCTATATATATCCTTCTGCTGTGCTAGCTAGGAGGTTGACCTTTTAGCAAACGCAACAACTTTTTATTAAAATTATCTACCTTTTATAGCTAAAACTTACTATAAAGTACACTACTACTAATTCTTAGCTAGCTAAAAGCATGCTATAGAGATTAAATTTGTAAACTTTTATTAAGAAAAAGCATTTAAGCTAGTTTTTATTACAAAAGCTATAAATATTTAAGTATTACTCTTAAAATAAGTATATAAGTATAAGTTTAATGCTAAAGGTTTTTTAACTAAATTTCAAGCTTATTTTTATATATAAAGTAACCTTTAAGTTACTATAGCTAAAATATATGCTACTACTCTAGCAACATGTGTCTTTAAAGCGCTTATTACTATTATAGCCTTATTTAGCCTACTTAGGTAATAATACAACGCTATTAACGTGTTTATTAACACTTAGCTTCTAACTCTAGCATATTATAAACTGCTACTAGGCTACTATTACTTTTAGTAAGCTCTTTAACTTTTTTAAGCTTTATATAAGCTTAAAAATATACCTAAACTTTAGTATTTAAAGCTTACTAAGTTACTTAAAAAGCTTAGCTTTTTTACGTTTTTAAAGTTAATTATTTTTTTACTAGTTAATAAAAAGCTTATAGTTTACCTTTATATTAATAATATTATTATTTTTTACTTTATAAAAAGTACTTAATGTCCGTACGCAGCAGCAGCGTCGCGGCCTGGATACGAACGATCGCGCACGAGCAGGATCACGTATCTATGTCACATAATGCTTGTGCGCGAACCTCTGTGCGCGAACATCTAGATATCCCCCTTTTCCTCTGTATAGAAGAAAGACAAGAGTAATAAAACTAAAAACATGTTGCTTTTACTTTTCCTACTTTATACGCTGTGCACACTGTACACTACTCTTACTCTTACTACTTAAGTGCTTATACTATAAGTAGCTAGCTGTTAGAGCCTATTTAACACTAATTAGTAGTTAATTTAATTAACTATAAATTAGTAAGAGTAATAATAAAGTACTTACACTTTATAAGGTACTTTGTTTTATTACCTATTTTTTAAAAAGAGTAATAGTAGAGTACCTACACTTTATAAGGTACTTTGTTTAGTTACTTATCTCTTAGAATAGTAGATTAATTCTTTACATTATACAGTAAGCTCTGCTACTATACAAAGTAAAAAAAAGATAGTATAAAACGCACACTAAAGCTACTAAAGCTGCATAACCTAGTAGCTAGATAATAGCATATTAATTCTTTACATTATATAGTAAGCTCTGCTACTATATAAAGTAAAGAGGAGATAGTGTAAGGCGCACACTAAAGCTATTAAAGCTGCACAACCTAGCAGCTAGATAACAGCAGTACCTGTGTAATCTACTAAAAAAGTAATTAACTATACTATTATAATAAAATCTTATTAGCAACTAACAACTCTGCATAATAATAAAAAAAATAAAAAATAATTTTTATTATATAAATAACTTATAAAAAACATAAGGATATTAAAGGCAACACTATAAAACAAGACTAGCCTAGAGTACTAGAATAACAAGATTAACATGTTAAAGGCTTTAATAAGCCTATAAACTTAATTATATATAAGTTATATAATTACTAATCTATACATAATAACTTAAAAAGGCGCTACTTTTTTAAGTGTGTATATAAAAATTTTTAAAAAATAGACACTATAAGACTTCTTAGCACTTAGCTGCACATTTAAAAGAGAGCTTATATAAGTGCTAAAGAATAAAAGAATTACACTATAGCTAAGCACTAAAGGTACCTAAGCCTAAAAGCTGTATAATATAGCATAAAAAAAGGTAATTACACTAAAAAGGCTTTATACATAACCTTTATTACTATATAAGGCTCTGCATAAAAGCAGACTAAACATAATGCTGCTATTAACACTAAGTGTACTAGCATTACCTGCTCCTACACTTTAGCTAGCACTACACTAATTACTATACAAACAATACATGCTACTCTACCTAACGCCTGCTCCACACCCTTAATCATACACACCACCGCCTGCAGTAGTGTATGCACTACTGATACCACCTGCATAATCTATACCACATTACAACCTGTACAAACTTCTACCCTAGAGGGAAACTGCTAAAGAAAAACTTCTAGTAAATAAAATTATATAATTTTAAAAGGCATAAAAAAAATAATAACTATATAAGTTAACTATATAATATTTTTATAAATAAAATAAAAATCTTTATTAATTTATGTTAATAGCTAAATATTTAGAAAACTTAGTACACAGACATCTTTCTAGATATTCTAAAAGGTTAGGCAAATATGTACTATATGCACAACATAGGCTCTAGACATAACTAAAAGCATTTGTATAACACCTTAAGTAGTTACTTTAATACTAATGTAAACTATAGCTAGTACTAGACAAACTAGACAATAATAACTTTTACATAATACTAATAAAAGAACTTTAATAAGAGTTTACATAAAGTTCTTAAAACAATAATTAATAAGCTTACACTTATATAAAAGGCACTAGAAATAGAATTTTAAAAGAATGTTCTACTGCACACTACTATTATATAAGCCTGTTAAGGATAACTAGAACTAGAACATGCTATATTTACTATTAAGCCTTTATGTAAAGCCTTATTTAGTAACCTACAGGCATTACTTTAAGTTACTATAAACTAAAGAGTAAACTAATACCTCTAGGAACTGCCTAATGCATACTACACAGACTGCTAATATAACTCTACATAATAAGAAGAAAGCCTCTCTCTGCGCAGAAGAAGACAACATAGAAGATCTCTATCTAGGTTTAGGCTACAATCTAGAGACAACTGCACGCAGACAAAGAAGTGCTTTGTCTGCTATAAGAAAAGATGTTAGTTATTAAACTACCCTTATAATAACTATACATAAGCAAAGAACTAGTATGTTGCCTTATATAAAAATTTCTATAATAAAACTTTATTATGTAAAGCTATTACCTTATACATCTAAAACTTTAAAAGTTACTCTAAAGAAAAAAATAATTTACATAATGTAAAGAAAATAAAATAAAAGAGTAAGGATGCTAAAAAAGCTGTTAACTACTTTACCTTTACTGCCTATCTACACTATGTAATAAAAAAGAACATCTACAGCATTAAACCTAAAAAATATGCTAAGCAGTTTATCTTTAATAACTAATACTGTACAGTATACTAAGGTAAACTATAAAACATAGGCCTAGTAAAGATCTTTACTATTAGCAAGTCTTAACTTAAAGCGTATATATAAAAGAACTTATATATAAAAATTAATTAGACACTTAGCTAAATAAATATTAGCTTTAAAGGCTAGACACTAAAAAGATTAATTAGTACTATACAAATCTAGAACCTAATTAGTCTAGTTAC